AATGAAAGTTTTAATAACATTCTTAAACTGAAGAACTTTTGTTTCATTTTGAATCAGAATCAAACGATGGAAGGAGCCTTCAAACCTTGGAAGGATCCTGTTGGAAGGATCCTGAATGCGCTGCAGTGGAGCAAGAAAACTGCCTGCTTCCCCTTCTCCTCCGCCCCAGCGCCAGGGATGAAAAAATTGAGCATCTCCTTTTGAACATGGGAACAACAGAACAATGAAATGCTGTCCAGAAAGTAGCTGAGGGAATGTTATGCTAACCTTTGTTATGTTACACAGCAAATTGTGTATGTCGATGTGTGTAATTTACTTGGAACACAAAGATTGACTGTCAAGCTATTACCAGTATGTACAACTGGCTGAGACTATTACTTCTTATTCTTATTAATCTTTCAGACTATATCCTGTTTTTCAGTTCAATGTTTTAAATCTTGAAGTTGGCTGTTTGAGGGCTTTCTCAAGATGTATTAGATTTGTCCATTCCGAAGCAGCTTTCAGTGTAAAATTGATGTGAGTGCAAAGAGTTTTCTGTTATTGTGGCTCTCAGGTCCCATTGCTATCTCTTCTTTGTCAAAGAAGATAGCTCTTATTTTTTTGGTATCGCTCTTGATAAAGCCAAAATTTCAGGGCTTAGCTAAGCTAAACATGATTATTAGTATTTTATCATTCTACCACAAGAAGTGTTGTTTCACACGGTCTGAACTACAATTAGGCATAAACTAGATATAGTAGCAGCAATCCTGTGCATGAGGTAGGGCCATCAGGGGAGTCGAGTCTTGAGCTTCGATATTGACATCAGCATCACTTCACTATGAAAGCTTGCCTAAACCACCATGCTCGATAATATCTAAAAGATCAGAGTCCCCCTATTTCCTTTGCAGCTCATTTTTCTGACTGGCTAACCATTTAGTTCCCACGCTATGCAGATCCTTAGAGTTCTCCTTGACATCTTCATGGTGTGCTTCAATCAGCTTGCCCAGCTCTTATGGCAACTTGTAAGTCCTTCAGAGCCTGGAGAACAGCCTTTTTGCTGGCTTGTGCTTTCAGGCATTTTGAGATTCCAGCTTTACTTCCAAGTTGAAGAGCAGCTCGTCCTGCCTCGCTAATCTCTTCTCCACCTCAGAGGCTCGTAAGTCGTAACCAACCTCTTATCCAGCTTAGAGGCACGAGCCTTGAATTTCCTGTTGTCGCATCAGTATGGTACCATGTCGAGGATGGCATCAGAGCAGTTAAAGTATTCGGACCTATTGACAGAGATTATTTCTTCAAACCTGTTAAGCCTGCATGGTAGAGAAGATAGATTGATTTGGCACTTTGACGAGACGGGTGAATGCACAGTCTGAGTGATCCGTTTGGCCCTCAGTTTGGAACTTAGAGTCGTCCCAAAAATCCAATTTGTTTCAGAAGAATGAATCAGGACGCTCTGCCCTCTTAAAAGTCAACCTTAGGAAGCGTCGAATTGATATAAGTTTGGGGTCTTGCCGATGTGCTATGGAGGAGGATTTTATGCACGTGCTATTTACACTCAGCTCAGCTAAGGTCTTGAAGAAGGCGGGATGCTGGGGGATGTTGGAGGGGTGCTTTACCCTGCAACCGGATTCCACGATTTTTGACATCATAGCAATTTGTCATTGGGAGTTGTTTGAATGGAACCGCTGATTTGGGGCAAGCAGATACGGCATTACAGTTCACCCGAATCATCGCGGAGGCATAGGCAGTCAGAAATCAAAATTTTGGTCAATCTTTGTCAAGCTATCAAATCAGCAAGGTTCTAAAATAATAAGACTACTTCATAAAGAATGGCTGTAAACTCATGTGGATGCTACTTTGGATATCACCCCCTGATTGCTATTGGACAGTGGGCAATACCGTGGGCGGATCCAGGGCCCTTCGGCCCAAATGTCCATTAAAAAAAAAATTTAAGTAAAATATTTTTCTTTATGTGTAATATTTTTTTTTATACGTATTAGCTCGTATTGAATTTTTTCCTAGATTTGTCACTAGGCAATACCCATACCGACAGTCTGCAACTTTGGCAATAAGGGGTGCACGCATCTTGATTTGAATTCACCTCGCGACACTTCAAGTTAAAAACTGATGTGGCACTCAGACTGAACGAGAGGCTGTAATGTTACGCTCTGTGATACAGTACCTTGAGGGAATTGTTCTGGTTGCATTAACTAAGTGTATTGGCAATCTTGTTTTCCAGGAGGATGCAGAAGCCATGGCTCTTCGGGAATGTAAGGTCCCCTTTTTGTAAAGATTCAATCACTAAGTTTGGAGGAAATGTTAAGGTCTCCTTTTAGCGAGAATCAAGCACTAACTTTAGGTAGAACCCCACTATGCCTACAGAATAGGGCTTCACAGAGGTATTATAGAATACACACAAAAAGGAAGGTAGGCATTTTTTTGCAATTTTTTATCATCCATGGATCTACTTGGGGCCGACCTTATGTATCTATTTTGGTACAAATGGCTTTGGCTCTTTAGGTAAGTGCTTGATGTAGTGCAGCAAGGGAAATCAGGTGACCAAAATGATCTATTTTTTTTTTTTTTTTATGACAGGGGAACCCGTAGCCGCTATCCTTCGGGTGCATATTGGGTAAACCCTTAAACTGACGCAATAGCCTGCAAACCACGCTAGCCAAGTAAACCACACTAAGCAAACCCGGTGCGACATGCTCAATTGAAAAAGTGTTTGTAGGAAGAATTGAACTCGTAACAAAAAGCCTCCGCCACTCCTTGAGGGGCGAATGATCTCCTACTTTATCTTGCCCATAGTTGACGTGGGCCTACAATTTTTGACAATTCAACGTTGAATTGTGAAAAATTATAAACTTAACCGTTAATACGACAACAATGAGCATGTTTTATCCTACCTACCATGGGTAGGAGATCATTTCTAAATCAGATGACTCCCTTTCCTCAAATGCTTTAATCTGTTTAGATTCTACAGCTCCTCTTCGAGAAATGAGATGGGGTTCTTGGTGTTCTAATCCCAATAAAATCTAAAGTCTTTCATTACAATGACCTAGCTGTTCACTTTGTATTCCTTCATTCGTCGAGTATTTTTTCAATGACTTCTTAATGCAACGAGTTTGGTTGGTTGTCAAAAAAACAAAAAGAACCTGTTTATTTCATTCTTTCTTTTAAGCAAGATTTACTTTGTAACATAATCCTTGCTTTATACGACATGTAAGCCGCTAAGGATATCAGTGGACAAAAGTTTACTTCTTTCCCTTTCTTCATGCGTACTGTGCTAAACAATCAAGTGTAACATTCTATAATGGTGAACAAGGAAGAAGAAAAGCAGCAGGAGAAACTATGATTCTATATATTCGAAAGCAAATGTGGTCAGCTGTTATTTTACACTAGGCTTCTGTTTTGTTTTGGTAAACTGTACATCTCCATTCAGTACTGAACTTACAAATCTCTCTGTTTCCTCTTCAGTTACTTCACCCTGAAATACAGCATAAGTTCCTCTCTTAGGTTTGTATGCCAGTATGAGTTTATCTGATGACTTGAATCCCGTGTTATCAAAGGCATTTAGAAATTGTTGTTGCTTAGCAGCATCGAGCAGAGCGTAGGAAACTGAATCCCTCAAGCTAGAGGCCATACTCCTCAATAGAGATTTCTGAGACACCTACAAAGTCGAACAGAAAATATGAAGGGAAAAAAGGTAAAAAATTATTCAATTCTGTATGGGAAAGTGCCATTACTGTAGCAGATATTCATTAAGCATTTCGATCAACCCCTAGTACCTGACAAAACATATAACTCGTTAGAAGCTATAGAGCACAATACGGAATTAACTGCTTACAAGAAAAATAAAACTTCACAACTACTCATTATTCTCAAGAAACCAAACACTTGCGCAGTAAATTAAAATCACACCTCTCCTTGAACAAAATGAGAACTACTTACAGTTTAACAGAAATCAGGAAGGTATTACACATGGCAGAACAGTGGCGGGGCTTGGTGGGTCAAGTGACCCATCAAGTTTTTGACCATTTTCTATGATGAAAAAAAAAAATCAACGGAAGACTGCGACGTCTTTCCACCCCTTTTCTCAAATCTCTGCAGTCAAAGTCTGTAGATAGAGAAATCCAGGCTTTATAGAGATAATAAGCAGTTGGTTTTAGACCCTTTTTGTTTTCTTTCGGTACAATCTATTCCAGTATGAGAAGAAATTTAAACAAAGCTTTTATTTCAAGTTGAATTTTGGGTGGGCTAAAGCTAAACAACACTGCAAGGAAAAAGACGTACTGAAGGTTTCAGTTAGGGATTTGATTTGGATTATGCATTAAATTTGGAATTTTGAAGTTCATTTTTTGGGTACTTCGTAGGTGGGTATGTGGCTGATATTGATTGGACCACTTTGGAGATTTCTATTCCAATTGTGTGATTTAATATCAAATAATTTCTGCTCTTCCAAAACAGGTTGTTGGGCATTCTTTTCCAGGAAGTTAATTGAGTTTTCAGTTTGGAGGTTGACTTCTTCATATTTAAAGTTTTAGGATCGATCTTCTCTATAAAAAGTTGGGTTGAGTTAGCGAAATGAGCTATATAGATTCAGAAAGAGAAATAGCATCTCAGGTGGAATTTAATGAAGAAGATGAAACTGGAGAGGGGGGGGGG